GCCCGCCACAGCAGGGAGCCAGCCCAGACCATGCATTAGCCCTGTGAGGGGCGGTCAAGAGCCGCTAACTGGCTGAAGCGCCCGCTAGGAGCAGTGCGGGAGACAAGCACCAAGGGAGCCGTCTGTCCACGTAGCTCTAGCACACCCCTCCGAGGAGCGCGTCGCACCTCCTCTTGCGCTGCCCCCGTCCCTCGACGTGTTACCGTAGGGTCTCTCCTTCTCCTCTTTCGTTCCAGCCCACCATGGCGGATTTCCTGAACCTGGCTTGGTGGACGTCAGCCGCCGCGTGGTAAGTCTCCGTCTTCCCCAGCAGAGCCACACATGAGAGCAAGGAGGCTGCGGCGCCTCCGTCCTTGGGGTGTGTAAGGGCAGGTTACACACGCGCCTGTCAGGGCTGGCGGAGATCAGCGGTTCCCAGCCTTTTCGAGCATACAGACCCTTTTCAATCTCTTACAATTTCCTGGCCCCCCTCCGTGGGGGAGAAAGAAAAGGCAAAGCAAGGAAAGGTACCACTTTCCACAGAGCCCCTGCAGTACCGGCGCAGACCACCAGGGGGCCGGGGCCGCAGGTTGGGAACCACTGGCGTAGATGCATAGTCCTTCCGGGAGGGCAGAGGGTGGGCTAGCGGCCCCTCGAGGTCCCTGCTGGCTCTGTGGTTCTTCATGCCACAGACCATCTCGTGGCCCTGCCAGATCCGTGGGGCTCCCACCACCTTTCCACAGAGCCCCTGCAGTACCGGCGCAGACCACCAGGGGGCCGGGGCCGCAGGTTGGGAACCACTGGCGTAGATGCATAGTCCTTCCGGGAGGGCAGAGGGTGGGCTAGCGGCCCCTCGAGGTCCCTGCTGGCTCTGTGGTTCTTCATGCCACAGACCATCTCGTGGCCCTGCCAGATCCGTGGGGCTCCCACCACTCAGGCCCTGGGGCAGCCTCCTTTCCCCCTCACCTGTCTCAGGAGCGCAGACCATCCCCTGAGCTTCAGCCTGCGTCTCCATTCATCCATTTCCGCCCAGAGCTTGGGGCCGGTCCCCAGCTCGCGTCTTTGGAGCTTGCGGCTTTCAGAGCAGTCCCCTCTCACACACACAGGCCTGCCCCGGGCACCATGTAGGCACGTCTCTGGGCGTGGAGCAAAAAGTCTCCACCGTGGAGGTCTAAAATTAGGCACTTACATAAGTGGCTTCCGTGACTCCAAGGCAGGGGCTGAGCCAGGCATGTCTGAAAACCAAACCACTCGTACTTTGGGGTCGAAAGCTGGCCTTTGGCCAACCACATGCGACCGTTTTGGCTCTAGGGCTTTCCACGGAGGTGTTCTGTGGGCCGTTAGCGGGATGCCCGTGTGCAGGGGTGTGTGGGGCTGGCTGGCTGGCTCTTCCCTCTGGCTGGCGAGAGACGGAAAGAGATCATAGCCACCGGGCCGTTAAGGCGGGCTCCTTCCGAGCACACGCTCGCTGCTGGAGGGAAAACGCCCTTTTTTCGAGCAAACAGAACATTGTCTCTCGCCCGGCGTGCACCCGTTTCCGTTAGTTGCTTCTCTCTGAGCCGAGCACAACGGAGACCCAGCCCAAGGGCAGTGAGGGCTCTTAGCCTCTTTGGCTTTGACTGGATTAGCGGTGGAAGGGAGTGGGTTTCTTCTCCTTCCTTCGTGATGCGGTGCAGCTCAGAGCCAGGCAACCTAATCTCCCGCGTGGAGTGAGCAAGGTCTGCCTCTGGCTTCTGGCTTGCGAGCTGCCAGGCAGGCTGGAGGGAAGGGGGAAACCTGCCTGTACTAGTGCTCCCATTACGGCCTATAGTCCTCCCAGAGCTGACCCTCACCGTGTGATCTCACTGGCCCCTTGCGTCAGCTCAACGCTTCGCTTTTCCCTTCCCAAAGGTCTTTGTTCCAGCAGCTCCTGTACGGCCTCACCTACAGCAGCTGGTTCCAGACAGGTAAGTCCAGCCCAGGCGGCCGCTGCGTGGGAGGGATGAGTGGGGAGGGGGCAGTCAATGCCCGACCTAGGAATGGGGAGGAGTAAGCGGCTGAGCCAGGCGGCGTCACCAGCAGATCTGCCTCCAGCTGGCAGCTGCAATCACCATGCCCAACCCCGGCGCGGAGATTTCCAGGGTGCATCCTGTTGCTTTCCAGACGCTCACGCTGGGTATTTTGTGGCCAGCAAAGTCCAGTTTAGCTCTGGCAGCTGCTTCTAAGGGAATTCAAGGAGCGGGGCTCATTTGACAGGGTGGGAAGGAGGAGCCGGGGGTTGCTGCCTGCCGAGTCCCACCCCAACCCTTG